ATCTCAACTTTTATTTTAAAGCTATATCTTATGCATGGATCATTCCATAATACAGTAAAGACACAGATACTTCAAATTTGTATAACACAAAAAACATTCAGGATCACTCTGATGTTTCCCTCAACAATTCTTTGAAATAGGCAAAGAAGATATAACTTTTCATTTCACAGATGACGAAACTCAGAGTCTAAGAGGCTAAGAGAATTACCCAAAGTCACATAGGTAATTAAGGCAGAGTTTGATTGCAGGGTGGGTCTTCAAACTCCCATATTCTTTACACAATGGCCTACTACTCTACATATTTATGGTACCTGGATGTGTTCCTGGCCTAAACCTCAGACCCAAATATGTAATGCTTAATTAAGGTGAAAAGGTGGGATGTTAAGTATGACTGCCTAGGGTGGCAATCAAACCCCCCCTCCCCACCCAAGAAAATGTTTCTCAACATTGACAATTCTTCCCCACCTCCCCCCATAGTGTATTACTCAGGAAGCCTCTCGTCTCACTTCCAGGAGAGTCCCATCTATGATATCTGTCATCTATGGTATCTGTCAGTGAAGAGTCTATGTGACATCACATGGGAAACTGGGTTTAAAGAAACTGTATTGCCAATAAGATCATCAGATTCTTTATTGGGGTGGAGCTCTTTTTTATATTTAATGGAACTTTCTATTTCAAATCATATTGACAGCATATGCAGTTTGCCATTTTGGAAGCACCTGAAAGTTGAGTCTATACTGAGTTATAATTTACAAGAAGAAAATTGTTGTTCCCTGGGAATAAGCACTACTTTGTTCCCAGTGATTTATTTAACTTTCCAAGCCTCACCTCCATATTGGGCTCACAGGGATAAAGTGGGTTACACTCATGACTATGCCCCAAAGCCTAATGTTACCAGTCTCATTTATAAGAGAAAGAAAATTAAGAAACATTTCAAAGTTGTTAAGCCAAGACCTCACTGAAAGTAGGATTTGTACTCAATGTTATAAAATACACTAGTTAATGATTTTTTTTTGCTTTTAAACAAGTTGTAAGGGAGGAAGGTAAAGGTTCTATTCTATTCCTCACAAACCCTGCAATGCCAGGTTTGCAGGAAAAAATATACTATTGCAAGCTTACTCTGCCTGAGACACTGTGCTAAATGAAAATCATTGACCATATTATCTAATTTAATCTATATAACAAATGTGAGGTATGTACTATTATCCCATTTCTAAATGTAAACCATTAATGTGAAACCATTTTAATTTTCAGATTGGGAGAGAATGTATGAAACATTCATTTCTTACAGGTATTGCTGATCATAAGGCACTGGGGGCAAATGAGTAACAGTGTTAACTGTTTGAATGAGTCATATACAACTCAAACACCATCTTAATTCTAGCTCTAGGCTGCAATCACCCTAAACTTCCACTTCCAAACTCTCTAAGATTTACATCCATTTAACAAAATTTACTCTTTCAATTGGAAACATCAAAATAAAAGAATACTTAATAAAAACATTCAAAAGAAATCTTGTAACAAAGCATAAATGATACACTGAATTTTGACTCAGAACTTGGTGTGAATCCTCCAAGCTGAACTTCTGTGGCCTTTGATTGCCTCATTTATAAAGTCACCCTACAAATTCTGAGACTAGATGAGTTAAAATGTGTGCAATATTGTGTAATACATGTGAAAGTACCACATAATTCTAATTACTATTGCTGTTATTATTATGAATAAACTAACAAGGAAGTAAAGGGAAATAAATTATAGGGAAGTAGGATGTGCAGTGTAAATTAAATCAGACAGCTCTCTTTGGACCAAGAAATTCTCTCCTGGTGCTGCTAAGTATTCATTCTCGCTGACATGTGCTGCTTTTGTAAGAAGGGAATGTGCTCTTGCTAGCACAGGGAAATATCATCCTGGTTCTCTCTCTCTCTCTCTCTCTCCCTCTCCCTCTCCCTCTCTTTCCCTCCCTCCCTGCCTGTCATCTCCACAGATCTTGGCTGCCTTACATTTTCAGTAAAATTAAATATGAGTCGGAACGTAGAGCCCCAAGAGCTCCTAGATCATGGCATTCCCTCTTCAGACTAGCTGTGCTGTCCTTAAGTAGCCAAATTCTCTCAAATGGAAGGCACACATGCTACTTCCCCAGCAGCTAGCCAAGCCTAAGCTAGCTAGCAGACCCCTAGTCCCATTTACTCAGCTTCATCACAATCAAATGATTAATGCAGAGCCATCAAACATACAAGCCCAGGTGTCTGTATTTTAAGCAATATAGCCACATAGCCCCAGGGAGAAAACTCCTTTGGGTGTACTTTTAATTTGGGGGGTGGGGTAGGAAGAGGGTAGGAACCTTTGGTTAACAAAACACTGTTACAAAGTTCCAGAGTGTTCCTGAAAGCCAAATGATATTCAGTCAATATACCTTCTATAGGCCAAGTTTACTTCCAAAATTTTCCTTCTGCAGAATGTTTACACTGCAGACTTTTGCTGCCCTTTTCTAGTCTGGTATTCCTCAGTAATGAAATCAACCCTACAAATGCATCAATCATAAATGCCTGGTAACTCACTAACAATTAGTACCCATTTACTAGGCAGGGCAATTGATCCCAAGACGGTAGAGAGGTGCTTTTCTTTTTAAGATTTAGCAGCTTCTATGAATACAGGCTTACATTCCTTTTGGTAAAGCTCATTCATGATTAAATTAAAACTGCAAATCATGCAAACAGAAATGATAGGCCCACTAACCACTCCCTGAGCCACAATTATTTAACCTTAGTGTATTGCACTCCTATACCTCTTAGGGCTGCCAGATGGGAAAACAAAGTCCCCCAAACTGTGGCAAATGTGAGTCATAACTATATTACTAATCAGAATTGTGACATACATGGACATCACTGAATGAGCAGTTCTTCTTATAGAGGAAGGAAGCCACCTTGGCTTTGGAAAAATAATGGCCTTTTAAAGTTAAGTTTATGAATGTGTAAATATACAGTCCATAATGTTGCATCTCTGCCTAAATGTCTTCATAAAGTGTAAATTAATGCTGATCCTAACTAGGCATTTGGAACGCTAACCTAGTTTTCCTTATTTAGCTAATACCTAGCAATTTTCCTTATACTTTTATCTTCTCATTACATAGCAATGATTATTTAGTAAATACATGTGAAAGGCCACATAGCAACTCTCCTGGGTTGGAAATAACCCTCTCCTAATGCTTCTATTTATACAATTTAGTTGCTGATACACCAAATCAAGTATAGCTGTGATGAGTATCCCACTAATGCCTTTTTTGGAGGTTAAGAACAGGCCCATTCTCAGCTGGTTCCCCTTTGTGCTGGCCTGACCAAATGAAGAGTGGGGTTGGGGACAAAGGATGGGGAGGTCCAGAGCTTTAGTTAATGCTCACCTTTTGTAAATTTTAAAGGGACTCAGCTGGTTTGTCTGATTTGAAATTATTTATGATGCTGGAAAGAGGTAGGAAAAGACTATTTTATAACCAGTGAAATAACATGGAGAAAAGAGAGAGAGTTTGAAAAAGGCACATAGAAGAGAAAGATGTAAAATGTGACCTTGTGAGATACCACCCAGTCTGTCCCTGGACATATGACTGATATAAACCTTTACAAGTCATCTGGGAATTTTTCCTCCTAGATGTAGGGTGGGTAAAGAGTAGAGGATTTGGAGTGACCCCAGGGCACTTTTTATTGTCTTCTAGGTACACAACATATCTCTAAAGTATTATAGAGGCAAATTTATTACTAGGGTGGCCAAGTCCCAAACAGCCCCAAACAGATAAGGGCAGACAAGGGTTTTAATATCCAGAATCTGGTCTGGCTTAAAGGGTGGGGATTAGTGGAGCTGAAGGAAGATGCAGGAAACATGTCCCTCCACCCCAATGCTGCTCAAATATGCCTGCTCACAGGGGCAAGGTTCCTGATCTCCTCTTCTGCTGACTTCATGGGAAGTTGGCTGAGTCCCCAATTCTGCAGAGGGAATGCAGGCAGAGGGGAGTACTGCAAATGGGCCTTACCCTGGTTGCTTAAATGACAAGTATGGAGGGAAACAGTGTGGACACTGTCAATGGGAGGAGGCACTGAACTGGGGAATACTGCTTATCCTGGGACATTTTCTTACATCTCCACTCCACACCCCCACTCCCTGCACCAACAAGAACATTGCTTGGAAATCAAAATCCTTCCCAACACACACACACACACACACACTCAGAGGCAGGCACAAGCTCTACTTCATTCATCTCAATGCCCTTGCTTCCCACTAGCTCCTAAAACCACAGACTGGCACAAGTAGCCTGAGGTCAGTAAGTCTGAGCCAGTAAGTACATCCTTGCCACTGGAATTAGGAAAGCTCATCATCTAAAGTGGTATTTATGATATTATGTTGTTTTGGATAGGCTTTGCTTTTATTTGGGGTTGTCCTAATGTGTTTGGGGAAGGCATGGAGTACCTCTACATCCCTCTGATCTCTGCTGGTACTCTCCAGTCCCCGCATCATCCTGCAGTCTCCTGAAAGTGCCTAGATATCAGGGCAGGGCTCTGCGTCCATTTTTTCAACCAGGAACCACCAGAGTTTGGGAACTTTGAAAGCCAGGGATGGCGGTGGGGTTTGCCAAGGCTCAGATTTCCTCGCCAGAGTTCTCAATCAGGAAAGCAGGTGAAAATCAACACCCATCTGCCTCTTCTTTCTCATCCGTCCACCCCTACTATGTTCCAGGACTCCATGCAGATGCTACCTCCAACACACACACACGCACGCATGCACACACACGCACACACACATACATACACACACACACACACACACACCCTTGGGTTTAGAAGGTGTTCAATTCTGAAGGCAGCAAATCCGCAGAACTGAAAGGGTCTCTGCCACCACCCATCTCCCGTCCCACCCCGCGAGACTACTTGATTGTCTACATACAATAAAATCTCATACATTCCAAAGACCAAAACATAACCCGAACCCGTCTGTGACTCCAGCGCGTCCCATACCTGATATGCAGACGATGAAATTGGCTTGAAGAAGAAAAAGCACCTCCCAGACTATTTCCATCCTCTGATTCTCATTCCAAGTGCATCACTCGACGGGAAAACAGGGGGAAGGGGGGAATCCCCACAGGGCGCGCGCGCGCACACACACGCACACACACACACATGCACACACGCACACACTTCCTAGCGAGCGCACACTCGCACTCCCACCCGACTGCCAGCCAGGGACTCCCAAGATCAATATCGCAGTTTGAATTGTTCCAGCAAATCTCCCCTCGGGCTCGACGGATGTGTGCCCCAGATGTGCTGACACATGTCCGATGCCTCGCTGCCCGGGAAGTCTCCCTGCTCGCCGGTCTCTACTCCTTGCACAAGCGGCGGAAACAGCACTAGCAGCGGCGGCGGCAGCCACCTGAAGCCATCAGCGCTGGGCTCTTCCTGCAAAACCGAGACCCCGATCCTCCTGGAGCCCCAAGAAGTCATAGACGATAGCCCCCACCGGGCCTTGCCGCGCAGTTCCGGGCCCCTGGCAGCTCGCAGCTTGCTGGCTAAGCCCAGGCAGTTCGCGACGAGTTGCCCTCGAAGTCCGCCCGCCTCACCGGGGCATGGTCAGAGGGTGGCTGCTCCGCTCCGGGGCCGTTCTCCTCCTGCTTCCGGGGGCCGGGGGGAGGAGCAGACACAGCATACAGAGAAACAGAAAGAGAGGCAGGGATTATTGCCCGCAACTGCTGGCCGCCAGCTGCCTCCGCCGACCCTCCCGGCTGCCCAAGTCCGCACGCAGCCTGCCGCCTCGGAGCCCGGCTCGGGAGACACGTCCAGGGCTCGGAATGGGAACCGTGGGGAGCCAGGTACTCGGGAACATGGGGAGCCTACGGGCTCCCTGCGTCGCGTGCGCGCTTTCTGTTCCTCTGCTATTTTCCTGGGCTCCCCGGAACCTCCAGTTGCCTTGCTTCCATCGTCCGCGACTAGCGCCGCCGCCGCCGCGATTTTCCGCAATACAACTGCAGGGGTCGTTATTTCCTCGCCTACGGATCCGGACGCCTCCGGATTCTGAGGGGAGGTGGAGGGCAGGTGGGGGAGGGGTGGAGGAGGAGGGAGCGGGGCTCGGCCAGGTGAGCGTCCTTGCTGCCGCCAGGAGTCCAAATGTCAACCCGGCCGCCAGGTGCCCGGAGGGGAGGCAGGGTGGGGAGGTGAGGCTTAAAGCGGCCAAAAGGAGAAGGAAAGAGCTGGGCGTCGGAGCTTCGGGCCCCCGCGGTAGCCGCCTCGGCCCCAGCGCCGTGCTCCAGCTCCTCACTCCGCCCCGCCCGGGCTTCTTTTGTCACCACCTAGGATTTGCGGAGTTTTTCTTCTCCTTAAAAAGAACTTTGCGCCAGCCGGTTATGCGCGGGAGACCCGGGTTGACTCATCTTGGGAGTGTTGTGCTGCGCTCTCCCTCTGCTGTGAAATATTGGGGGATTTTTTTCTTTGCATAATTCATTCCCTTCTCTTTCTCTCTTCCCTCTCCTGCCCCCTCCTCCTTCCCCCTCCTCCTTCCCCCTTTCCGCTCCGGTGCCAGAACGCTACTTACCCCAGAGTTCTCTTTGCAGGTTCCAAGGCCCTCACCTCCCTCCTCCTGAAACTGGGGAAAAAACGTCTTTCCAAGTCCAGCTGCGGGCAGTGGCCACTGCCAACTACGCCTCTGTTTAGCTCCGGGAAGATCCAGGACTATTGGAAACCCGGGCTTTAGGGAAACGGGCTTCCCTTCTTTTCTTTCGTTTATTCTGTTTCTCTTTCGGGAAGCTCAAGTGCTTTGGAGGCTTTTGCTGGGCTCCAGAACACTCTGCCAGCAACATTCAGCAGCTTCCACAGATTTTCCCTTACTAAACGCGCGCGCGCGCTAGTGCGCGCGCACACACAGGCCCGGAGCTCTCCTCAAGGCCCCAGGGGAGGGTGGGGGCGTCAGGAGGCCGACGCCGACGCCGGAGCCTCTCGCTGTTCTGCAGAAGGGGTCGCCGCAACCTGGAAAGGACTTGCTTCCGGTCAACACCTTGTAAAGTAGGTGCAAGGGAATCGGAAGGAGACCCTGCGCTGAGGACTGTTCGCCAGAGAAGGCTGGCAGCGAGAGAAGAAAAAAAATCGCAGATTTGTATTGTCCCTATGGCTGCAGTATTGGTCTTAGAAAGCCCAGATTTACCTCTTTGGGAGTGCTAAAGAAGAGGCGGGCAGGGTGGGGGAAATCCCTGAAAAGATCTCGGATTTCTCGGCGCGCTTGTTCGTGTTGCAAACTATGACGTTTGGAGATTTCGCACAAGCGCGGATGAACACACAACAGACGCAAACACACATAACCCGCAGGAATTTTTTTTGCACTTTTTACCTTTTGGTGTTTAGAAAACATTTCGGTGTGAGGCTCGGTCTAATAACCGCATAAAGGGTGGATAAATGGAGAAGGAGAAGGGAAATGGGTACCGTTCATCCTTACAGCAAAGTTAGTGAGTCTTCCAGGCGGTGTGGCATCTGAGAGTGCGGGGTTGGAGCCAAAGAATTGCAGCGTTCCCAGGATTTTTTTTTTAAATAGGTCTTTATTGGAGTATAATTGCTTCACAGTACTGTGTTAGTTTCTGTCCGACTGCTCAGGAAGGAGTCTGGCGGGTCTTTTTGCAGAGTGGCTGTTGGGTGGGGCGTTGGGGGTGGCCTGGGCTGGGCAGACTTTGGGAGCCACAGCTGCGTAGTTCTGCTGCCTTCAGGGATTCGAAAAAAGAACCACAGGCAGACTTACTTACTTTTTAAGACGGAGGTGTGACTGAGCGATCTGTTCTCTGAGATGAAGGCCAAGGAATCCAGGTGGTCAGCACATTAAAAATCGAGGCCTAGATGAAGGAAGTCCAGGTTTCTTATGCAGAGGGCTTCGAGGCTTAGCAAGAAAGACTCTGAGACCTCAAAATATTACAAGAATCTGAGATAGTGAGAATTAGCCATTTGGGGAAACATACTGGGGGAGAGGGTGTCTCCACGTCTTGAAAGTCCACCACCCAGAAGGGGTTTTTGAAGGGAGAGAGAAGAAAGCAATTTGCTAAAGATGAACAGATTCCACCCTAGGGAGCTTTTGAAACCATGGACAGTGACCTACCTTCTGCACTTGGGAGTGGAATTTGCTTGCCAGCAGGAGAGCTGTCTTTGGAAGGAGAAGCACAGTGTCTGGATTTTTATACCAGGACTCATTTATTTACTAATGAATTATGTAAATATTAACTGAGTGCCAGATATGTGTCAAGCACTGTGGCAAGACGCTGGAGTTTTATCACTAAAAATCCATAATCCTTGTTTTCAAGAAGCTTATAGACCATATTTCCTCTACATTTTGCCTTAAAAGCCAAAGCCAATAAACTAATTAATTTTCTTCTTTTCAGCCTGTACACTCACCTTCAGCCCTCTCAAAGAATATTTAATCTGTTCTCTGCCACTAAGTCTTTTCAATACAAAACAAACAGGGCTTCCCTGGTGGTGCAGTGGTTAAGAATTCACCTGCCAATGCAGGGGACACAGGTTCAGAGCCCTGGTGTGGGAAGATACCACATGCCATGGAGCAACTAAGCCTGTGTGCCACAACTACTGAGCCTGAGCTCTAGATCCCACAAGCCACAACTACTGAACCCATGTGCCACAACTACTGAAGACTGCACGCCTGGAGCCTGTGCTCCACGACAAGAGAAGCCACCACAATGAGAAGCCTGTACACCCCAATGAAGAGTAGTCCCCACTCGCTGCAACTGGAGAAAAGCTTGTTGGGCAGCAACGAAGGCCAAACGCAGCCAAAAATTAAATAAATAAATTTATTTTAAAAAAAAACAGACAAAAAGAAACGGAAACATCAATTCATATGACAGTATTTAAGTAAAAATATAACATGCATGTATCAATTGTTTGCTATGTGCCAGGTATTGCCAAAGCCCTTCCATGAATAATCTTATTGAATCATCCATATGAGAGAAATATCATTATTACTTACATTTTACAGATGATAATACAGAGGCCCAGAGTAGTTATTTGTTCATGGTCTCACAGCTACTAACTGGTAGTGTAGAGATCAGAACCAAGCATTCCAAACTCAGAGGCCATGACACACTATTTTCCTTCACACAATATAAAATGAAATATATCATCTCGGGGAGGTAGAGCAGAGTCTATGACTAGAAATTAATCAAAGGCAGGATGAAATGCAATGGTAGATTATGCAGTTTAGAACTTAATTACTGTGGAACTAGGAGAAAGAAAAGATCACTGGAATTAAGAGTAATCAAAGGCATTTCTTTTCTTTTTTTTGGGGGGTGGCCACATCACGTGGTTTGTGGGATCCTAGTTCCTAGTTCCCCGACCAGGGATTGAACCTGGGCTCTGGGCAATGAAAGTGCAGAGTCCCAACCACTGGACCGCTAGGGAATTCCCTCAAAGGCATTTCTAATGAAAGAATGTGAGTGCCTGCTAAGTGCCATTTCTGTTCTTGGCACTTGGGAGACAACCCTGAACTCAACAGTACTTCAAAATTTAGTTTCCATGTTAACATTTTCTAGAAGAAAAAAACTAATATTTTCTTGAGTTATTTCTAGGCTTAGTTCTAAGAAATTTTTCATCTTAGTCCATAAAATAACTCAGGAAAAGCATATATTAAGTTGGAGCCTTCTGTCCTCACTCTTTACTGAAGTGTTTATTTTTTTAGCTCATGAAACTAGCAAAAGAAATTTAAAGAAGACAATGAAGCTACAAAATATTTATTCTTATTAATTTTTTTCATATTTTAATGAGCTTGTGCCCATATCTTGATAACTACAAAGAATCTCTCTCCACTATATCTGTCTTCATCTTTTGTCTCTTTCCTACTCTACATTTCTCTACTACAAATTCAGTGTAAGTATCTTATACATACAATAGAAAGTCTTGGCTGAGCCCAAGTGTGACAGCCAATTCCAGTTTTCCCAAAGAAAGCAAGGAATTGCAGTTCCACTCCCTAGAAAAGAGCAATATTGAAATCCTTTTGATTCTTTCTCCACCTTCTCTTTTTCTCAACCCCATAGAAAAAGGAGTGATTCATCTGATTGATAAATTTTTTGAGAATTTGCTATCCATTAGGAGAAAGAGGTTACAAAGGAGCAAAGGAAAATTTTTAAGAGTAATGGATATTATCTTAATTGTGTTGCTGGCTTATGAATATGTACATATGTCAAAAGTTGTCAAATTGTGCACTTTAAACATGGGAAGTTTATTTTATGTCAGTTATATCAAAATTATCTATCAAAATGGATCATTACCTTTTGCAAATAGAGTCAGAGACTATAATCAGAAATAATCAGAAATATTTAATAAACTGTGGCTGGACTAGGCTTAGAGAAGCTCACTTTAATGCACTGTTGCTGTTCTATGTGAAGTGTTACTGTAAAATTACTCAGACTTTGAGAAATATTAAAAATTATGGGAGTTCTTTAATTTAGAAGTTATTCAAAGAAGTAGCTCTAATGTTGTACCTGTATCTTTATATATTTGATAGGTATTGGACTATTATGTTAAAATATAACTATCCTGTTGGGAACATATGATAAGCTCCCCTAGTATTAGGTGGGGAGATTTTCCTTGAAGTTAGTGAAAATTATCCAGTCAGTCATTCCTGGAGAGAAGCAAATCTTGGGACAAAAATGAAAACTTGGAAGATGAGCTTTAGAGTGGAGCTGAGCAAGAATACTTACTTTCCACTGAGTTAAGATGAGAGGCAAAGGAGTCTGTGCATTCAGGAGCATGTTTAATGGTGATGGCTGGATTCTGCCACTGGGATATGGGCTATGAGATAGGCAAGAAGCCTTATAGTAAAGCAGGAACATACCCTGAGGGAAACCAGTAAGACTGGCATGGCATGTGATTCTGTAATCTGAGAGAAATCATATGTAGTAACCAGTTAAAAATTAATCTCTGAATGTTCTTCCTTTCTGCTGTCTCTTCAGATGACTATTGATAAACACTGTAACATATCGTGGGAAAATTTGTGTGCCAACACTTTGGCTACAATGATAAGGGAGATTGCAGCAGATCCAAAACTAATGTGGAGGTGGTAGCAGAAGCAAACACGTGGTGATACACCAAATTGCAGAGTGTGATGGAAGTGACACAAAGGGCATACTATTGGCAGAGCAGAGAGCTATGTGGAAGAAAGAGGCAGGTGAAGACTCTGGTGATGACATGGATTGTGAGCACAGATAGGTTATCCCCGCAGGGACTCTTCACCTAACAGGAGTTAGTAGGTGGAAGGGAGGAACCTCAAAAGGGGATCTATGATTCTACTATTCAGCATGAAGGCTGAGACCACCAAACAGTGTTTTAGTTTCCTGTTGCTGCTGTGATAAATTATTATAAATTTATTGGCTTAAAACAACATAAACCTTTTTTTCCTGGAGTATAGTTGTTTTACAATGCTTGTTAGCTGCTGTACAATGAAGTGAATCAGCTATACGTATACATATATCCCCTCCCTCTTGGACCTCCCTCCCACCCCCAACATCCCTCTGATCTAGGTTGCCACAGAGCACCGAGCTGAGCTCCCTGCACTATACAGCATGTTGCCACTAGCTATCTGTTTTACACATGGTACTGTATTTATGTCAATCCCAATCTCCCAATTCATCCCACTCCCCTTCCACTCTCCGTGTCCACACATCCATTCTCTATATCTGCGTCTCTATTACTGCCCTGAAAATAGGTTCATGTGTACCATTTTTCTAGATTTTACATATATGCATTCATATACAATATTTGTTTTTCTCTTTCTGACTTACTTCACTCTGTATTACAGTCTCTAAGTCCATCCGCGTCTCTACAAATGACACAATTTCACTCCTTTTTATGGCTGAGTAATATTCCATTATATATATGTACCACATCTTCTTTATCCATTCATCTGTCAATGGACATTTAGGTTGCTTCCATGTCCTGGCTATTTAAATAGTGCTGCAATGAACATAGGGGTGCATTGTGTCTTTTTGAATTATGGTTTTCTCAGGGTATATGCCCAGTAGTGGGATTGCTGGATCAGATGGTAATTCTAGTTTTTTAAGAAACCTCCATAATGTTCTTCATAGTGGCTGTATCAATTTACATTCCCATCAACAGTGTAGGAGGGATCCCTTTTCTCCTCACCCTCTCCAGCATTTATTGTTTGTAGATTTTTTGATGATGGACATTCTGACCAGTGTGTGGTAATACCTCATT